AAAATCCTCGAGCATTGGCGTAACGCCGCGGCCCGCCCCACCCAGGCCGGTCGAGTCATTGATCCCCGCTCCTTCAAAGGCGAGGAAAACTCACCGCCCTTATAAAAACTCTCAGGAGGAACCTGGGCTAGAACCTGCCTCCCCCGAACTGAACCGGGTGGCGAGCCGTCCGACGTTACAAAAACACCGCCGCACTGAGGGTGCTCGGGACCAGCACAGCATTTACTTAGGGGTATCGAGCGGGGCCCGGCAGGTGCATCACCAGGCAAACTTCACCCAGAGTTCCACGAATTAGCAGGGCAACAAATTGATAGTGGAGTTAGTAAGCACAAGGCACCTGTGTTAGTCTGCATCAGCTGCGACTGCCCCCGGAGGTGTAATTTTCTTATTATAAATATATAATACTTCAAAGAATTCTATCAGAGGCATTAACGCCACAACTGATACTACGTTTACTATTTGTTAAGTATACTGTTAGGGTAGGGCCTGATTAGATTAGAAATGGACTTACTGCAAAAGTAGCAGTATTTATTTGACACAACAATTAATATCAGTGAGTGTATTGCTTGACAGTTACATTCGCCGTTCATCCGATTCGATTACGGCATTGGGCAAGGGACAAAAGGGTAGTTTTTTACCTTTCCCATTTTTGTTCCCGCTCACACTCATTGCGAAACCTCTCTGCCCGCACGTTCTCTCTCGCACCCTCGGCCAGCCCCATCAGAGCGGTTTCACATCACGCCTCGCCACTCCGACCTAACCAGGACCAGTCTGGGTGGCCCAGCCAGCCAGGACCTTGCCAAGGAAAAGGACTTGCTGGAAATAAAAAAAAAGGAAGCAGCGAATTCAGAGCGCAGCGCAGCGAGCAAGAGGAGGAGTTTGGCTTGCGGTACGGTGTGCGCCACCTCCCGCTCCGAACAAGGAAAAAATACCACTGTAAACGGAAATGGAACGAGAAGGAGGCGAAAGGGGCGACAGAGACCTCTCCTATTCCTCGTCGAAATAATAAATAGTGGTGGCAAAAAATGACGTAGTGTATAAATTATTTCAATAAATTTTCTCGCTTGAAGCTGAAAGATAAATCTTTAATAACGTAAAAAAGGACTGGCTCTCTTAGGGGCGCCTGATATTTCTCGCGGACGCTGACCCGGCGTGGACCCGACGCATTTAAAACTGCCATTCTGCGCAGTCAAGAAAGAGTGTCACCGAGATAGCAGGGGAACGCATAACAGATTGTCTCCACTTTATGCATGTGCGCATAATATTTTTGCCTCCTCCCTTTTTTTCATTCGCATCCCCAGTTTTGTTTCATTTCATTCTCCTCCTTTTTGTTTTGGCCGCTCGGCTACCGCGCGCACCGCGGGGCCACCGCGCGAGGGGGCCCTCTAAGGGTCGCCACAACCAAGGCGAAAAAGAGTAAATAATACGAAGGCCGGCCGGGCAAGGGCCGGAGAAAGGGGAGAGGGGGGAGGGAAAAAAACGAGCAAGTGGCCGAGAGACAAAAAGCGCGCGGGCGTTCGTGATGAGATAAAGGTCGGCGCGCATGTGTACTTCCCTCGTTACCTCTTTTTAGCACGTGTGGCTGCCGGCGAGGCCGCGGCCAGGCGCAAGGTACGCGGGCCCAGAAAGGAACGCAGCCCACTTAGTATTTGAACCAGAGCCGCAAGGGACCAGGTTCCGACCGGCCGCGGCTGCCGCGGCCGGCTCGCCGGGATATTAATGGTGCCTGGCATGTCTCATCGCAGCAGCACTGCGCACCACTTCACATGCCGTGCATGTCTGCCGCTGCGCCTCTCCTGCGAGATTGCCGTAGAGGATCTGAACCATTACCGAGCCCCTTACAGCTCCTTCTAGCCTCTCGCTCAGATGTTTTAAGGGCCCACGAGTGGGAAGAACGTGTAACGGAGAATGTCGCACAAAGATTAGCAGCGTTGTCACAGAACGGTGCCCTTATACAGCGAGTGAGGATTCGCGAAACGAACAACTTTAACGCTAGGCCCGACTTGTAACACCCAAAAATTTGCCTCTTTTTATATCAATCTTAGGCGTTCCTTAATATCAACTTTACAGGACTTTCAATGACAAATTCCGGAGGAGCATGAAACATGATTCAAATGTTTTTTCCAACAACGAAGGGTTTAAGTTGTATACTTTTTTTTTTAGTCCGACATTTGCCATTTGCACCGATTTGCACGCTAACGTTAGTGCTTGTCCTCTTGTCCAAATCCATTACGCCAAACAAAAGACATTAAGACTCGTTTTTTTGTTTTGTCGTTTTTAATTTGCTACGTTCTCCTTGTTCCACTGTACCAGAATACCGTCAGTTTTTGAAGAAAAGGAGACACCCTTTTCTAACAACTCCCCAAAGTAGCCCAGTCAAGACAAGCCCGAGGGCCGGCTGAGCCAACACACGGCCGCGCAGTGTCCAGCCGGCATATTTACCCGACTTATTTGGGTCTGCCGCGGCGGCGGCGGCAGCGGGCCACACGCGTCGCTGCGCTGCCTTGTACTCCACTCCAAGGCACGGCGCCATGCAGAGCATTGTAAAGCCATTGTGTCCATGCGAGACAACGGCAGTGCTGCAGACAAAGGAACCCTCCACCACCTCCACCTCGGCCGCCATGCTCCTCGGCTCCACCGTCTCCGCTCTCCGCAGAACAAAAGCCACTTAGTGTCCAATGGCGCACGCATGAGGCCCAGTCGAATATATGAAATGGCCCAAAACAAAAACAGGGCACCGCTGCTGGACGTGATGTGAAACACGATTACTATCGGGGGGCGATAGAAAAGAGCGGAGAAGAGTAGACCGAGATAAAAGAGGAGACTCGCACGAACCAACTAAAGAGAAGTCAGCAGTGATTTAGCACGGCGTACTAATTACCCTCTAAAATATATAAGGCGAATAGGGGGACATGTTGATCCCAATTGCCTTATTGTCTGCGGAGCTAATCCCCCGTAAATGGCGAAGCGCACAAAAAACACAAAACAAAACCGGTGCATTTTCCATGATCTAGCGTCGAGTGCTAGCAAGGGACACAAGATGTGTAATTAAAAGAGGATGGTCCAATCTGAATGTAGTGGATCAATAACTTTTTGTCCCTGAAATGGCAAAGTCATTTCCCTGCACATTTAGAATACGTTCAAATATGGGTCACCTCCCCTATGACAAAATATTTTTCACTTCAGACGAGCGAAAATAGTCTGTTCGCTGGGACTAAACGTTTCCAATTTAGGGACGAAATTGATAGTTTACATATAAAAGGTGACCCGTGATAGGTCCATCCTAAATCTTCAAGGATATTTTGAACACGTTCAATTACATAAACAAACACGAAAATATTTCGCTAAAATATAAACGGTAATGCCTTGAGAAGGTTGGATGTCCTACTTTAGTTTTCCCAGTGGTAGGAGGGAGGGCGCCTACTAGGTAGGCAAGCCCGCCCCACCAGGGAGCATTGAGTTGCCTATCCATTGGATTGCAGGCGCTGTGGACCAGGAGTGTTTTCCCCTTATTAACTATTGCTTCCCGCCTCTGCCACGTGAATGATGAGAGAGGGTAAGAAAAAGCGAGAATCCCCCATCCACCGCTCACCTGCACGTGGCAAACATTGTCAGTCGGTCAAAGAAGGGGATTTTGTAGAGCTCTGCCGTGGACGGGTAGCGGCTGCCTGTGGAATAAAACATTATGATCTTGTGGCACTAGTGCGATGCAACGCGGTCTGAGTGCTTTTCGCTTACGTTCAGAGGATCAACAACAGGTACTCTTCCCCATTTTGTGTATACTGCAAGGGGTCGACTCACTCAGTAGAAATGATGGTATTTAATCCTTTATTTCTCCAAACTAAACTTTGGACTTCCGTAAAAACTTCAAACGTCCATCAAAAAAGAGGTGTACTATTTTTACAAACAAATAATTGACCCCCTCTGCTTGGAGTATTGACATCTGAGGGGTTAACATCTTTCTGCGCTGATAGCACACCAATCTGATTCTGGGCTTACTGCAGAGTGCAGATGGGAGTAAGGAAGGAAGCAAGTGACAGTGACTACGAGAAGTGAGTATGAGTAAGTATGAGTGAGTGAGTGAGTGAGTGAGTGAGTGAGTGAGTGAGTGAGTGAGTGAGTGAGTGAGTGAGTGATTGCGAGTAAGATAAAAGTGGGGGGAAGGGAAGAGGGGGGGGGGGCGGTCGTACACCTACGCGTATCAGGCCTTGTGGCGAGACCGGCGCTTTGTTTCAGGATCGGGTTGGCGGCCGCGGGTCGGGCTGGGTCCGGGCCGAGAGGCAGGGCGAAGCGGGCCGGCTGGCAGCCAGGCAAGAGCGGGTCCGCCCGAGCAGTCAGCCAGCACCGAGGTCACCGGCGAGCCCTTTTGTTGGACCCGACGCCATGGGGCGCCACGGGGCTTAGCGAGGGCTTTCCCGTCGCCGTGACCCTTCAGGGCCCCCTTTGCGCCCTTTTGCCTTCCGTTTGTCTTTGTCCGGCACGCCGCGCACCTAGCTCTGCCCGCCTTCCTGCACCTGCAGGTGTGAGCGGGCCTTTCAGCAGCGCGCCCAGGCCCCAGTTAGCTCGCTGCGGCTGAATCGCCGTCATCGACATGTTCCCCAAGTACGGTACCCCAGCACGTTCTTTACGTACGACCACGACGAGTCCGAACGAGCACGCACTCCGGCTCGCTCCGGGCGCAAAGTTAGTTTCAGGGGCGGCGGGCGCCGCCATCTGGAACGCGAGCGTCCGGGAACGAGAGTAAATGCTACTCACTGTTAGCTACTCGCCTGAACAAGCGCAGGCAGGCCCGCGCGCAGCTTTCCCGTTAATTAGTGCAACGCTTAACTTAGCATCTTAATTAAGAATCCCATTTTGTACAAGGAGTGGGAAGGAGGGGTAGAGAGCAGGCGACCTCAGAGAGTAAATGAGGCCTACGCGAGAAGCAGGCACGCGGAGGGGGCGGCACAGGCGGCGGCAGGTGCGCGCCAAGGCGCCATGCATTGGGCGTGAATTCTTACCTTTGAGGAAGATGCCCCCTAGGCTGCCACAGGTTGACGCCTCACTGGCGCCGCTCGACCCACGAGGACCGTGGAGGGTTAGGACTGGAAACAGAGGGAAGGGGCGGAGTTATGAGTTATGGTAGCATTCGGCTAACTAGAATGATATGTCGACAAAAACTGCAAACTCTCCAGAACTGAACAGCATCAGAAGTGTGACGATAATATTGGATTTCGACGCAGAAGTATACACTGGCGACCATTCAATAATAAGTTACATACATATGAATCGAAAAGACAGATGTAAAGATTTTAAACTGTTCTACGAAATGTAGGCATACTGCCCAATTATTTATCCAGATATAACATCCCTAATGCACCCTAGATCAAAAGAAGTATACTAGGCCAACTTTATCAGTTTATGCCTCATTTTTAAGACCCTTTGCTGTCAAGACGCTGTCGATAACACGCTATGTCGCTATACTCTGGTACTCTAAAAAATCTGCTCTTTGTAACTTTACATTGAAAAAATAAAACGACTTACAAGCGCTGTTGTAAATTAAATAAAAGCCCTATTATTCTTGCTTGGCGAAGAATACCAAGTCAAAGTGTGGTGTGGTGTCTGGTGTCTCTTATTATGTTGTAATTTTACAATTGCATACCGCAACTTTACAACATTTCTCATAAAAAAAGTTGCCAGTAAAAACTGCAATTTTTTTCTGTGGTTCCGCACTACTTTGCGACGTCCTTAAGCATCAGAATAGTACTTCCTTGTACTTTCCTACATAATTCTTAGACCGGCACTACCCCGAGGTGGTGCGGTAGGCTCGGACGAGAAGCCCACTCGACAGGCCGGCGTGTGCTCGCTTCAGCCCCGGACAGAACCGGGTAGGGAGGGGGCTGAGGTGAGCAGGGATGGGTGACTCCTGACTCACGTCACGGCACAAGCCCTAATTATTTCTGACCTGTGGTCGGGAAGTTCATCAGTTTTACCTACGAGGCTCTAGAGCGTGTGAGTGCGCGTGTACGCGTGCCGTAGGGGCCAGAGAGCAAGGGAGATGGGGAAAGTGAGAAAATAAAGGATGGAGAGAGAGAGAGAGAGAGAGACAGAGAGATAAAGAGGTTGATGCCTCGAGCGGGAGGGTGCCGTGAGGCAAATGGACCTGGATGGGCGGACTAAGAGGTGGCTAAGTCGTCCACGGGAAACACGTCAAGCTTACAAGCCCGCCAATTGGCGGGCTTGTTTCGTATCGTGACCACACTGTGACCAAAGAGCACTCACCGCCTTCCGCTCGAGCTCTATCTGCAGGTTCAAACGCCGGTAGAAGCTCGCCATCTGGGGGCGGCGGGCAAACTCCTTGGCGGGGTAGTCAATCTGCGGCAGTGTGGGGCGGCCATAGCTTAGCGACCACAACACGGGCACGATCTTGCCCTCCTCCTGAAAAAGTTACCGACAAATTCACTAAATGATCCTCGCCTAAGAAATCGTTTGTAGCCGTCGTCAGTAAATGATTTAGTTCTCGGCTGCTATGAACAGCCCCCCTACTATCTCTCCCCCCTCTGACAACACGCGCACACAGAGTTGAATTAACCTCTTCGTATATTTCAGGGTGGATGTGGCTGACCAGGCGTCGGTCGCACCGAGGCCGTCGTTGGTCCCACCCCTCGGGCTGGTTGAACAGGCTGTCGTACATGTTGACGGTCGAGTGTGTCTTGCGGTTATTGAAGTAGGTCAGTAGGCCGATCTCTGCCAGTGCGGGGTCCTGCGTGCGCCAGAAAATATTAATCACAAATAAATTAGCATTTGCTCATAAAAATTTATAGATTAAAACAAAAACATAGCAAAAACTCAAAAAATGACTCACATAATCAAAATTTTCTAGCTTGCGCCACATTTGCTGCTTGTGGCCGATGGTCTGCACAGGCGACGGGCCAAAGTACGCAGACATGTTGGGGCTCAAAGCTGTTTGCCGTGAGGTCGATCAAAATGGCCGTGACTTTGCCAAACACACCGCCGCGGTCCGCCCGCCCGCCTGGCCCCGCCTGGGCGTGAGCGAGCCGCCTGGACCTATTTGCAGTCCGCAAACACCGTCCCAGCCCCGTCACATTTGGCACGCTCTCGTACTCTGCTCATAACTCTTATGTGTGATCATTTTTCGTTGGTGAGAACACCGACAGTAAATCGAAAGTAGTAACGAGGGAGCCATTGACCGACTCTGCATTGATGATTTTTTTATTTTGAACACATTATTTTTTATTTTTGTTTCACACTGACTGAAGGTTTAAGAATGATGTAAACATGTTAAAGCAGTAGCATAAACACCGAAAAAAAACGGTTCCATTGGTCTAGAGAAGTGCAAATATGATGGAAATTTACTGACTCAAGGTAAAAATGCCCATGGGGTAGAGAAGAATCCCTGAAAGTAGCGTGCAATTATTTCATTTCATATTTTGCATTTAGTGAACTGCCAAAGACCTAATGGAACCACCGATAGTTCAATGAAACGATTATCTCGGAGCACGTTTTGTTCCGATTCTTACCCTGACAACACGACGCATCTAACGTTTGGTTCAGAGCTCGCAACCTGACGTAGCTATTCGATTCGGACGTCAATATTGTCACGAGAGTCAAACAGAGTGCAGGACCAAAAAGAGGACGTGCAACTCGCATGCCGGTGGTCTACGTTGTCGTTACAGCACTTACCGATTAGGGGGAGCAAGACAGAGAAATCACGTGCTGAAGAGCTGAGCAGGTAGTTGGCCGGCAACGGGGCTCGGGGATCGGCTGAGTCGACGTGGGCGCGCGGGGGAAGGTGCTAATGTGTAGCGCTCGGAAAAGGCTGCACCAACAAATTGTGGAATTTTATGCTTGACCTGGGGAGCAAAGTGCAAAACGTACAAATGAGACAGGATAAAGGAAGGAAGGAAGGAAGGAAGGAAGGAAGGAAGGAAGGAAGGAAGG